GTCCACAACACAGAGTCCACAACACAGAGTCCACAACACAGAGTCCACAACACAGAGTCCAACACAGAGTCCAACACAGAGTCCACAACAGTAATTTCAGTGTTCTGGTAGTTTAATTTAGAACAAACTTATTCTTTAAGCTCTTCATGTGTTTGTGAGTAAATGTACGTTCCACCACTATATACAGTCTATATGTATATAAGAACCTGTAGCTTTCTATATTGAACATTATCTGCAAAACGAACAGAAACATCTCAGTTGGACAAACAGAAACTGAACTGAACTGAAACAGATTCTGACGTTCCAGATGAGTTGATTAATTGCTTCATTACCTCTGACAAGAGAAAGGAAAGATCAAGATTCGGGGGGAAAATTGCGGTTAAGGCTCCTCATTGATAACGGATCAAATCTCCAGGACAATTATCGCTTTCATTTCATTATCGTTAATCATCAGCCTCTAAATCATCCCCGCGGCGTCACTTCCCGCCACCGTCGCCGCCTTATCGCTCAAACGAAGATCTGATCCGAGGACACAGTCCAACTAATAAGGATGGCGGTGGTGTGCGTCTCTTCTTGTAGCCGCTTCAATCAGGGCGTCATGTTTATGAGGAGAAGGTCCAACGCCCTTCATCATCCCTCTGGACTGTTATAGGCCTGTTCAAGTCCTGATTTATCATTTAGCGGGGGAACATTGTGAATTATAGCCTCGGTGACTTTTTAAATGGGAATTTGTCTGTGATTCTTAATGTGTGTGTGTGTGTGCACCGGTCCGGGAGGCCGGCTGACCAAAGAGGCCTTGGATACATAAATATTGATTTAGCCGCAGCAGCTGAATTTACTGACTCACAAAAAAAAAAAAAAAAAACAAGCTGGGACCTTTTTGAGGAAATAAAAAAAAAGGTTACATCCTATATGACATCAATTCTCTGCTACATTTGAGCAGGAACAACTGTGGGATCTTTACAGAACCAAGGACGACTGGCTTCACTGTATTTAGCCTTGTGTTTGAGCAGGTCTGAATATGCAGAACAGTGACAGGGAAATTAATCCTCCCTCACACACCATTATATCATCAATCTGTGGTTTTTAAATCACCCCAGCAAGTTTCTTTTTAATCAACTTTTTCTCCATTAACCATCTTCACACACTTTGACCCTAATCCTAATTAGCGAGTTTCTGTGTAACCTGGATGTTTTTTTTTTCACAGTGAAATTAGAGAAACTGCCTTTTGTGGAATATGATGGATGCCTCTGAGCCATTGACAGTATTTATGACGATATATACTATCCACAACAGGACACACTTAAAATTTGCACGTGGACCGTAATTAATTTCTGCATTTGGGCATGTGGGACGTGTTACTGATTTTATGTTTTTATTTTTATAAATTACGAGGGTGATACTTTAGAGCTCACATAACCCACAAAAACCCTGTGAATCCTGCATCCCTCTGTTTCAGATTCTCTTTTTTATAAACACGTGTTTGAAAGTCTTCAGCGCGTCCTCAGACCGACCTGAGTCGGACAGACAGTGTCTTGTTAGCGAGGGCTTTAACCCAGATACAGCAGACACACTCATCCATTCCTGGACACGGCAGACATACACATACATACCGAAATAACAAGAAGAACATATAGTGACGCTGCTTCACAGAGCTTCCAAATTGCCTTGTTATTGCTGTCTGAACACGCTTTACTGAATCTGGGCCGCCTCCGAACAAAGGCTTAGAGTGCTTCACCGAGACATCGAGGGGGATGTGTGCTCATGAAGGCTGATCATCATTATGTCTTTGGATTTAAGCTGTCAACGGACAAACTCTTCTGTCACTGTTCATTATTTATTCGTCTGTTTTCATTCTGAGAAATTCCAAACTTCTTCAAAATTCTAGTCCTGACAGAGTTATTGTTGTTATTATTATTATTTTTATTATTTCTGACATCACCTGACAGTCTCTCCACTTTGGCCCAGTTTAATTGGATGAAAATATTTGGATTGAGAGATTTACTGGTGACTGGATTCGATCAACCTCCTAAAAAATCCAGTGTTGCTCAAAGAGCGAAGTAGCAACACTGCCAGGGTCAGAGGTTCAGCTCTGTCCAAAGATATACTAACGCTATCAATCAATCTAACTTTATTTGAATGGCACCTTTCATACAGTTGAGTGCAGTTCAAAGTGCTTTACAGACGACTGACAAGATGATAATAAGACAAAATGGAGTAAAAGTTAAATAAGGCACATTTAAAATAGAATACAAAGATAAAAATAACAATAAAATACAGTTGATTTTACAGGTATAACTATAAGTATTTAATAAAAGTTATACTAAAAACTAAATAAAGTAATTTAAGAAAGCAGGCAGGAGTAATAAATAAAAACAATATGTTTTATAGTATGTATATATATAAATAACTATTCGGCCACCTGACAATACCAACAGGGACTGAAATGACATTATATTCAAATACATATTACTTTAATATGGAGTTGGTCCTGTTGCAGCTATAACAGCTTCCAATCTTCTTGGAAGGCTTTCCACAAGATTTTGGAGTGTTTCTGTGGGAA